GCTGCGCCAGCCCCGTCCCGTGGCACCCCCGTGGTGGAGCTCGCCGCGTGCACACGGTGTCTGCACCGCGGGGCTGCAGGGCGCAGGGTGCTGCACCAGCCCCGTCCCGTGGCACCCCCGTGGTGGAGCTCGCAGCGTGCGCACGGTGTCTGCACCGCGGGGCTGCAGGGCGCGGGGCGCTGCGCCAGCCCTGTCCCGTGGCACCCGCCGTGCCGGGAGCCTGGCGGGCGCCAGCAGCCACACGGGCAGTTTTGGCCATGGGTGCTCGCAGTGGGCGCGGGGCGCAAGCGGCCGTGCAAGCAGCAGGGCAGGAGCAGAGCTGGGGTGATCTGGGGTCTGGAGCATCCTCCTTCATCTACGGAAACATGAGGGTTTGGCACGTATTAGCCTGAGGATTAAATCAACTTGTTCCTGTTTCATACAAACAATGCTAAATGATTATCCCCGTAATCCCAGAGCCCCAACCTGCGTGCTGACAGGGTCCGGTGTATCCATAACAGCTGGTGCCTCCGAGCTGGCGCGAATAAGAGCACAGCAGGGACCGGGACAATTTCATTTCTGGTGGCACGTGTTGGAAATGCTGCGCGGCTTCCAGTGACCCATGGGACCAGGGGCTGAGCCGCGCTCGGCTGCTTTGGTGGTGCCTGTGCTCAGCAGCAGGGAGGCTGAGAGCAATGCTTGAATGCAAGCGGGGTCTGCGGGTGTGTAAAAGAGCTGCCAGGTAGGCCGTGGGCTTCTGACCAGGAAAAGCTCGTTAGTAAATTAACATAGACTGTATTTGCTGCTGGGGGTGCATCGAGCTGTGCACAACAGAGCTGCAAGGAGGGGTGCCCGTGTGCCCTTCGGTGGGCGCGTGGCGTCCTGACCTGCCGTCGCGCAGGGAAGGGGCCCGTGCCCGCGCCTGCCTCGCTGCCCGGCATTCCTTACCACAGCTTGCACACACATGGATACACACGGCTGGGTGCTGCCATTCTGCCCCGGGGTGCAGAGGGAGGTGGGGTGGGTTCCTTTCACCTGGCACCGGCCCTGGCATCACCTCCGTTCCAGCAACCCAGGGCCTCCCGTCCTGGTGACGCTGCTCCCGCTGCTGGTAAAGGAGTCGGGCACGGCGCAAATCCCCGTTTCTCCTTTTTCTCCCTCAAGCTGATGACCAAGCACCCGGCCAAGCGGCTGGGCTGCGGCCCGGAGGGCGAGCGGGACATCAAGGAGCACGCGTTCTTCCGCTACATCGACTGGGACAAGCTGGAGCGCAAGGAGATCCAGCCGCCCTTCAAGCCCAAGGCGGTGAGTGCGCCAGGCGCGCGGCTCCGTGCGGCTCCGTGCGGCTCCGTGCCGCTCCGTGCCGCTCCGTGCCGCTCTGTGCGGCTCCGCGGGCGCTGCCGGCCGCCCCGCCGCGCGGCTCGTGCCGGAGCTGCTGGCACGGGGCTGCTCCGCAGGCCTGCCGCGTGCCGGGTGCTCGTGCTGGGTGCAGCCCGCCGGAGCGGGGGGTGCTGCGCGGCCCATGCCAGCGCGCTGAGACTCTGCTGGGTTCGTTATTCCGGGGTTGGAATTGCTGCTTTCCCCTCCTGCCGAAGCTGAGCGGGTCTCTGCTACACAAAGCTCTGCTCGCGCGCCGAGCCCCTGTGCTTGGGTAGCAAAGCTCCATCTCGCACAACAGCTTCTCCCCGAGGCCGGGGGAGCGAGGCTGGGGCCTCGGCTGCAGAGGAGCCCTGCTCGGGGATGGTTTCCCATGGGGAGGAGCTGCCTGGGGGCAGGCGAGGGGTTCTGCTCTCCGAGTTATCCCTCCAGTTGCTCCTGGAGGAGGATGCCTCCACCCGGCAGAGCCTGGAGCGCGGAGCGGGTGAGACCCCGCAGTGACACGGATGGGCAGTGCACGAGGATGGAGGGCCCCAAGCTGCGGATCCGCATCCCTGGGTTCCCAATCCCCATCCCTGCGCTCCCAGCCCTTCCCATGGAGCAGGCACTGGGATTGCAGCAGCTTGGAGATGAGGGAGCATCTCCCTGGTTTCTCCATCTCCATCTGTCCCTGCTGGGGTCACGGATGTGTCCGGAGCCCATAAAGGGTGAGCGCATCCGTGTGTCCCGTCCTGCAGCTGGGGCACTGGAGCAGTGAACCCAAGTTCGGTCCCGCTCACATGCTGCCACTGGTACCTGTCCCAGCGATGGAGATGGGACCTGCCAGTTCTCTCCATCCATCGCCCTAGGGCGCAACTCAAAGATCAGAGAGGCTGCATGGGTTTAACTGGGCTTTTCCCCCAGGGAAGAGACATGCTGGGAGCCCGTTTCACACCGGGTTTCGTCCCTCCTGCAGCTCCTGCTGGAGTGGCCAAGCACGAGCGAACGGCCCGTTAGCCCCTCGCGAGCCCAGCCTGCCCATCAGTGCTTACCTTCAGCCCTGCTCGTTGACGCCCCGGAGCGTCCGAGCCCGCGCTCGAGCGCCCGCCCTGCCCGGCGCTCCGGGGCTGCGGTGGCGAAGAGGAAACGCAAGAGAACGACCCGTGCGTGCCGGGCCGGGCTGCCGCGGCGGCGCCGCCGGGTCAGCGCCAAGGCGCACGCCACGTAGGGAAGGTGCCGCCGCGGGGCCCTGGCTCGGGCGGTGCAGGAGCGTGCAGCAGACGGCCGGGGACGCAGTTGGTGCCCGTGCACGGGCGGCTGCAGGTCAGGGTGCTCGCAGGGTGCTCATAGGGTGCTCACAGGGTGCTCATAGGGTGCTCGCAGGGTGCTCATAGGGTGCTCACAGGGTGCTCGTAGGGTGCTCACAGGGTGCTCGCAGTGCCAGACACAAGCGGGCCCAGGTGTCCGCCTGGGCTCGCCTCGGCACCAGCGCAGCACCACGAGCTTCATGCCCCTGAGCGTCCTTCCTCTTCCTCACCCATAACCACTGCCGTCCTCACACCTCTGCATTCATGCGCAGTGTTATCTGTTGTTTGTTTGTTTGTTTGTTTCTTACTGTTAGAGGCTGAATTCTGTCAAAGCACTTTCTTACTGTTTCTGTGTTTAAAGTATGCAAATTTTGTCCTGCTTTAAATGTCTTATTTCTTTAAATATCCTTTTGATCACCGACCTCGGAGCAGAGGATGGTAAGCTATTGTCTCCTGCTTTTCACCTAACAGCTGGCGTTGGGAAAAAATCTTAACATTTGATAGGACAAGGAGATTAAGTGCAAGGCAGGTACGGTTGATGTAGGATTTAGGCAGGATTAAGGCAAGGCGGGTACCTGCTGGTAGCTGGTACTGCAGCAGCTCTGCCTCCGCGCTGCGGAGCGCTGCTCCTTCCCTGCCATCGGCCAGAGCGGAGCAGAGGGGCACGGAAAGGAGACACGGGGCTGGTGCGGCTCCAGGGCGTGCTCGGCGGGCGGCAGGGCAGGCTCTGCTGCCCGTGGCGCCGGTGCCGCTTGCTGCCCCGTGCCGGGCTCGCTGCCTTTGATCGGTGCGGATGCGGGAGGCGATGGTCGGGTCCTGCTGTGGAGCAGGGAATGGGAACGGGGCTCCCGGCATGCCCGGAGCTGGCACCCGCATGCCCGGCTTGTGGGAATGAGCCGGGTGCAGGTGGGATGAGCAGGGTGTGCAGTAGGCATCGCGGTGGCAGGCTGTGTGTGTGGGAAGGCCGAGCGGGGAGCACACGCATGGGTGTTGGTGCGGGGCTCGCTGCCTTTGATCCTGCCTCAGTGCGGATGCGGGAGGCGATGGTCAGGTCCTGCTGCGGAGCAGGGAATGGGAATGGGGCTCCCGGGATGCCACGGGCATCGCAGCTCGCATTGCTCTATCGGGGCCATAAGGAGGGAGCTCAGGCCGGGTTGAGCTGCCGCCGGCAGCTCCCGGCTTCCCGCGTCCCTGGGACCCCTCGCACGGCGCTGCCCGGCACGTGTGTTTGCACCAGGCTGCATCCTGGACTCTCCTTGAGATAATTATTGTTTTGGGTATCTAATTACTCCTTTACTTTGCATAAAGACTGGTAGAGTGTTAAGTCACATGGCAGAGCACAGGACTGCTCACAACAGGATGGGGGTTTAAAAATTGCGTTTAATCTAATAATTTTTAATTGCATAAATTAGACTTTCTTGTGATTGCTTTGAATTAATTAGTGTTGGAATGCCATTTATAGAGCAGATTTGGGGAGAGTTCTGGCTCTCCTGCATGGGCTGGTTTGCAGCTTTTGCTTCCATCCGTAGGGGAGGAGGTTTTGGCATTAGAGCCTCCACTCCAATGGGTTCATGGACAGAGATGGAAGGCAGGATGCTGCATGTGAAGAACATGTCAGCAGCTTGTCCCTGGCCTTTGCATGCAGCAGTGACCAACGTGCTCCGTGCGCGGGATCGGAGCGGGCAGTCGCTGACCGGGAATGTGCCGCCCTGCTCCCTACCGGGGCAGGAGGGCCCCTGTGGCTCCCGCTTCCCTGCAGAGAGCCAGATTCCCTAACCACGAGGTTCTATTTCCAGCAGTATTTAAGAGCCGTGATCTTCCGTGAGTGGCGACGAGCCAGTTTTCCAATGTGCAGCAGCAGCCGCGGCACATGGGCCGCTGCGTCCCCCGCGAGATGCCAGCCTCCCTCAGAAACATCCCCAGCACCTTCGGGAATCTGACCCCGAGCCAGCTTTTACAGTTAAACTCTGTCCCAAATATTAGCTTTTATCTTCGTGCTCCAGCCGGGGGATTACGCGGCTAATCCCGCTCGCTGGGCGCTGGCCGCTGCACGCGCAGCCCACGGGCAGGACGGGGTGGCAAAGCCCCGGCGATAGTTGAATTTGCAGAGTGCAGCCCCGCTGAGGGGCTTCCCTGGCCCTTGGGAGCTCGGGGAATGGGCTGGGAATGGGAGCAGCAAAGAGGGATTGATGCACCTGGCCCGTGAGCGCAGCAGGAGCCCGTGGCCACAGCAGCAAAGAGCGGAGACGAGGGCACGGAGAGCGGAGACGGCTCCGTCTCGGCAGGGAAATGGCCGTTTACAGCCTTTGAAGGCATCTTGGGGATCAATGGCAAATATTTTATTGTGCCTTTTGTCTCTATTTGAAATCAAGCTAGAAACTGATAAAATAAAAAGGCTATCTGCTAAGCTGACAGCTTTATTTTTGCAGCTGCAAAAAAAAGTCACTCTGTGTTGGCTATAAATATTAGACAGGACACGTTGGGGATTTATGTAAGATAAACTCCCACCCTCCCCCTTTCTCCGTTCAGGATGGAGCGATGCCTGTACATTAATATAGTACTAAAATGAGGCGGATTTTTCACAACATGGCTTTAGATAAATGTAAAAATTCGTACAGGATGTCTCCCTTCCCTCAAAGACGAGCTTAATTTTAGAAGCTGCAGAGCTGGTGCTCCCGCAGACAGCAGCCGGAGCGGCTCCTTCCCCTTCATCCTCACCCTCATGGGGGCTTGGCAGTGGGCACCAAAGGGGGTTTGGTGCCCGAGGACGATGCGGCCGCAGCCTCCGCGCTTGGGGTTGCACGCGGCTTCCCCAAACCCCGACCAACTTGCAGCGCTCGGGGTGCTGCTTTCACCCCGCGGCAGCTCTGGCCGGTGCTCTGCGGCTCCCAGCTCGGAGCAGGATCAACGCAGCCACGAGCCTCACCGCCATGCGAAAGACTTTCCGTCCAATATTCTCCCTTTCTGATATTACGGTGAGAATTATTCCTTGCCAATATACATATTAAAAATGCATTTGTACCTTTTATCCCAATAACTGGAAGCAGTTCACAAGGATTAGTTTTTAAATCTTTATGATGGATTTTGGTTCTTTTGATTTTTTTTTTTAAGGCAGCTCATTTCTCTATAGCAAAAGCAAGGCTGGTGCTGTCAGCCGTTTCACATGTGAGCTGCCTTGCGTCTGCAAGTTCTCGTGAAGCTAATGGGAAATGACAGCGATATTTTCAAAGCCCTGTAAACCTTTAGCCGCACGTTGGGAGACGGCAGCGTCACAGGTGAGCTGCTTATTAGCAGGTGAGGCTGCTCCGTTGGGCATGACGACCCGTCACCTGCAGCGCTGCACACTTGCTCCCGTGTCTTGCTGATGGTTTGTTTTATTTCCCTGCTAGCAGGGAGGGCTGGTGACAACATGGCCTAGAAAAGCCCGTGTCTCTTCGTTTCATCGTTTTAGCTCCCAGGCTTCGCGGAACTGGCAACTTCATTTTTGTGCATTTATTTTCCATTCTGATGCTAATGCGATGGCTTTCGGGCAGCCGTCGGGCTGGTGCTCACATGTCCAGCCTCTAAAACACCCTCTTGCAAGACGCCAAAGCTGAACCCGATTGCACGGGCTGGAGCAGCAGCCGGCTCTGCCCGCAGACCGCAGCGCTGCGATAGATCTTGCTCAGGTCCTTAGCTCAGGAGCCCCCTGCTCGTCAGGGATAATCTTGCAATTCCATCAGCGTAGCGTTGGGACACGTTGAATCTGCCGGATCACCTCGGGTGACGGGTGCTTCCTGCTCAGTCAGTGCAGTGCCCGGGAGCAGGCTGCGTGTCCCCGCGAGGTCCCTGCGGCCGCGGCGCGCCGGCAGGTCCCCAGCTGGAGTTAAACCCGGCTCAGGCGTTACCCGTGCAGCTTGTCGGAGGGCTGGGAGAGCGAGCGTCTCGCTCGGTTGCTGTCAGAGCATAATAGGGGCTGCCAAAAGAACATGACATTGGAGGCTGACGGATGCTCGCGCTGCCTTCCCTGGCACCTGCTCTCCAGCAGAGGACGGAGCTGGGAGATGTCGGCGTTTACATGCGTTTGACTTTAATATTTTATTCTATTTAGCCTGGCGTTTATTAAAAATGTAAATCTGTTTCCCCAGCAAATGGCAGTTAAATACCAGGAAAAAATTGTGGCAGCGCTTGAAGCACGGAGAGGGCGAGGGGAGGAGCAGGGAGCGAGCGGGAGCGCCCGGCGCGAGGCCGGAGCGGGGAGGACGCTCCCGCTTTGCAGGGCACGAGGACGGGGCGCAGGGCAGGCGCGCAGGGGGCAAAGCGCCGGGCAAAGCGCTGCGTGTGCAGACGCGGTGCCACGCGGCCTCCCGCCCCGTCCCTCCTGCAGCTCCCCGTGGCGCTGCAGCCGGAGGGTTTCCCGGCGAGCGCGAGTTGCCTGGAGTTAGCAGAATTCCTGAGTGTTTTGCACCGTTTTTGCTTTCCGCCATGTGCTGCTCAGCAGGGCTGGGGGGAGCTCAGGCCCATCCGTTTGCTTTGCTTCTCCACCCACCATACGTTCTTTTTTTCCCCTCTCATAGTGTGGACGCAATGCTGAAAACTTCGACCGGTTTTTCACCCGCCATCCACCCGTCTTAACACCTCCCGACCAGGAAGTCATCAGGAACATTGACCAGGCAGAATTCGAAGGATTTTCCTTTGTTAACTCTGAGTTTTTTAAGCCTGAAGCCAAGAGCTAAGTAGCTGTGTAGATCTCATCCCTGCATCTTTACCATCCGGTCCCAGCTGCTGTCGTGGTGACATTTTCCATTGCAAAGTCGCATTCATGGTTTTTCTTTAGTCATGATGCTAGAGTGACCATATTTCAAAGCCAGGAGTGTCTTCACACGATTCGGGGCATGCCTGAATGGTAGGTGCTGTGCAGTAAGTACCGCAAATACGTTTTTATCGAATTTTATTTGTAAGCAACGAGCAGAATTCACCGTGTAGCAGAGGTGACCACGGGCTGTGCCCAGCAGCGCCCGGGCCCGGCGATTAGGAGCAGTCTCTGCAGCCCGTGCCCCGATTCCCGCTCCTTCCCGGTATTTCCACGTAATCTCGAGCATTTCATCCGCAGCCTTCTTAGCGTTAGTGGCGAGCGAGGGATTTTGTGGAGCCTTTCCCGCCGTGCCAGCGCGCGCTGCGAGCTCCCGGCCGGGACGCAGCCCCCTTGCTCCGTGCCGTGGAGATCCATCCCCGCTCCGCTCTCCGCGCTGTGAGCCGAGGCCGGCGCCCTTTCCCTGGATTTCTCCTCGTTGTGCAGTTTCTGAGTAGCGCTCTTATCGAAAGACATGGATCCGGTGCAAAGCAGGGAATTTGACAGAACTGTTGTGAACGCTTTCAAGTCCATGGTCACCCTAGTAAACATCACGTAACATGGTTCTTCATATCGAAACGGTTTCTTTTTCTAATTGCCAAAGCAGCTGAGTTTGTTACTTGCGCTTTAAATGTGTCAAAAATGATATTAACACAAATGAGATGCTATTTAACATTGAACAGTATTGTGAATTCTGATATGGAGCTTGTAAAGAAATCTGTTTTAACTAATATTCCTACTTAAAAAAACATTGCCGCTAGATATTTAAATTGCCTAAGTTTGGTTCCTGGCATCAAAGCAGGCTTCAGGAAGGATGAAGTTCTCTTGAAACGGTAACAACCCCATAGCTTCCTTTTATACCGCTCTGCAGATGTTCGTGGGCTGTCACTTGTATCAAGCTGCTCCAAGCTGTAACGTGCCAATTCTTTTTTTTTTCCAATACTGATCATGAAATAAAAAGTGGGAAATCACTGTCAAAGCCACCCGCGTTTCTTTGCGCACCCCTGCGAGAGGCCCGGAGCTCCGGGAGGCCCCGAGGCCGCCGCGCAGGCAGCGAGGCCGGGCTCCTCGGCGCCCACCTGCTTGTCCCGAGGGTGGCAATTCCCACCAGCACCGCGCTCAGCAGCGGGGAGAGGAGTCCTGTGTCCCCAGGAAGGACCTGGAGAGGAGGAAGGACCTGGAGAAGAAGGAGGAGGTGGAAAAGAGGAAGGACTTGGAGAAGAGGATGGATGCAGAGAAGGGGAAGGGCATGGAGAGAAGGAAGGACATGGAGAGGAGGAAGGATGTGAAAGAGGAAGGACATGGAGAGGAGGAAGGATGTGGAAAAGAGGAAGGACAAGGAGAGAAGGAAGGACTTGAAGGACAGGAAGGACGTGAAGGAAGGACAAGGAGAGAAGGGAGGAGATGGAGGAAGGCCCTGGCGAGGAGGCCCGCGGAGCCCTGCCGGACTCTTCCCTCCTGGAGCGTCCTGCGCGGGCGGCTGCAGGAGGCCCCGGGGCTCCTGGAGGCTGCGGCCTCTCCGCAGGAGGCAGCAGCGGAGCCGAAGCCTCGTGCTGCTCCCCCGGGAACGGCCCCTGGGAGCGGGCGGCAGCTCCGAGGTTTGGGGCTCCGGCGGCCCGTCCTGCTGCTGCTCCCCTCGCGGCAGAGCCGCCGGGGCCGCGCGGCGGCTCGGGGGACACCGGGCGCCCACACGGGAGCGGACGGAGCCGAAGCGGCGCGGCCGGGACGAGCGACGAGGAGGGACGGGCCGAGCGCGGCCCCACCGCTCTGGCACAGGAGGCCGCGTCCGCAGGTCCTCCCCGCTCCTCCGCCCTGCTCATTCCCGGCTTCCCATGGAACGGCATCTCCGGAGGACGTGGTGGCCCTGGTGTCACCGGCGCGGGATGGAGGAGCTGCTGCTGCTGAGGGACACCCAGGAGGGGCCACGTGCACGGCTCGGCGCCACGCGAAGGGCGCGGGGCGCAGCGGGACCCATGGCCGGGCGAGCGGGCGCTGTGAGCGTGGCGCCCTCTCCGGCAGCCCCGGGAAGGGGGCCGCGTCCCCGGGCAGCGCCGGGGCCATCGCCGGGGCCGGGGCTGTGGCCGCGGGCGGCCCCGCGCCGGCAGCCCCCGGACACCGGCTCTGCGCAAGCGCTGAGTGTTGCCGTCGTTTGGAGCTTGTCCCCGGCCGCTGTGTGTTGCCGTCAGTGCCTGCCCGTGTGCTGTGCGTGCCGAGCGAGTCCCGCGGCGCCCGCGCTGCCGCCGCCAGCTTAACGCTCTGCTTTCCGCCCAACAGAAGGACAAGCGCGACACGTCCAACTTCGACAAGGAGTTCACCCGGCAGCCCGTGGAGCTCACGCCCACCGACAAGCTCTTCATCATGAACCTGGACCAGAACGAGTTTGCGGGATTCTCCTACACCAACCCCGAGTTCGTCATTAACGTGTAGCCGGCGCCGGGGCGAGCGGCGCTCGTGTCCCCGCGAGCCCTGGCCCGCGCCGCAGCCGCCCATCGCCGCCCCACGCCGCTCCCCTGCAATGCTTCGCATGGTCGATGTTCTAAGCCCTTGTGCCGCAGCTTGCCGTGAGCGTGAGCCCGTCCTAGCAGAGCGCGGCGGGCGGCTCGCGGCGCGGCCCCCGGCGCCGCAGCACGAGCGTCTTCCCCGTCCCTGTAATCAGAGCAAACCTTTTTCTAAGCGAAAGGTGGCTTTTCCTTTTTCCTTTTTTTTTTTTTTTTTTAACATCTGGAACAGTTTGCAGTTTTGATATACTCTGTCAGCACGCTCATAAGTCTCTCTCCTGTTTTTTCACAGGCACCGTCAAAATTTAGCAGCTCTGTAAAGGATATTAATATTCTACCAAAACAAAACACGTTTATATTCTCGATTTACAGTTTAGCAACCGAACCTACGCCCGCCACAAAGGGCTGTACTGAGGGCTATTTCTAAAGGCAACTTTTATACTTGACACCCTCCACTCTTAGAGCCTCAAAATCATGAATTTTACAGCCATGCTGATTTACCTGATTTCGGTGAAGGTTCCCGCGGGAATCGCTCCCGGCTCCGGGCCCCCTGCAGCGTTCGCAGGTTTCTGGTGAGCTGGGCGCTGCAGGCGGCCGGCCCGCGCGGGCTGCGTGCTCCGCATCCCTGCAGCGCGCAGGGCTTTGCAAGAAGCAGACCTGTGCTTTCTGCAGCCGTTCCGATCCCAGTGTAAATACACATGCCTTCATGACCGGGGGGAAAACGGGGGTGGGATTTTATGAATCACACAGAATCCTATAAGCAAAATCCCGGTTTGTGAATCTTTTCTAGACCTTGGGCTCCCGGGGAAATGCTCCCCCGCTGCTAATGGCTCCCTAAGGACAAGAGCCGCTGCCGAGGCCACCGCTCGGAGCCCGGGGCCCCAGAGCAGCCCTGGGCTGGCGGCCACAAAACACAGCCTGAAAAACTGCAAATTGTGCCAGATCCACGGGGGGGTGATGGAGATGTCGCGTCAGACGGGGACCGGAGCGCCCCCGAGCTGGGCTTCGTTTCTGGCGGGAGGGCTCGTAGCCCCTGCAGCCCGCGCCGGGTGCTCCGAGCATGTTCGTTCCTGCACCTTCCGAACCTGTCGCTGCAGAGCTAGTTTTCCTCCAGTGGTGAATGTTTTCCTTTCGTGCGTTCAGATCCCGTGTGCTCCCGCGGAGGCTCCGGCACGGAGCCGGGACGTGCCGCGTGGCGCGGGCTCTGCTCCGCTTGGGACCCTGCTCTGCGCTCGGAGCGACACTGCTGCATGGAGCGGGATGCGCTTAATGCCCGGAGCGCCGGCAGCGCCTGCGCAGCCCCCAGCCCCACAGAAGCCTCCGCAATCAGAGTGGGCGCGATGTCACCCGTGGGAGCAGGCTGCCTGGTGCAGGGCACTCACAGGAGAAGGGCTCCACGCTGCAGGAGGACCTGGCCAGGCGGGACCCGAAGGGCCACCGTGAGCTGCTGCTTGCCAAGCCCCTTGCAGGGACGTCGAGCCCTCGAGGAAGGACCAAGTGCCAGCGGCTCCGTTTGCCGTCATCAGCTGAGGGAACCTCGGCCGTCCGGTCACCACGCAGGGCTGTGGGAGGCTCCGTCCCCGGGGCCTGGCGCTGGAGGAAGGCCGGGGGAAGGGGGTGCCCGTGAGCAGCGCGGCGGGTGCGGATGGGCAGGGGCACCCAGGCCACGACGTGTCCCCCGGCGGGGAAATGCTGCTGCCTTCGCCCCAGCTCAGTGCTTCCTTCCCCCTTGGGCACCGATGGCTGGTCACGATGTGGGCACTGCTGGCTGTGCGGGTGCTCATGGCACGACGTGGGTGCTGATGGCAGGTGCTCATGGCCTGGTGTGGGCACTACTGGCTGTGCGGGTGCTCATGGTGCAGTGTGGGTGCTGCTGGCTGTGCGGGTGCTCATGGTGCAGCGTGGGTGCTGCTGGCTGTGCGGGTGCTCATGGCCCAGCATGGGTGCTGCTGGCTGTGTGGGTGCTCATGGTGCAGTGTGGGTGCTGCTGGCTGTGCGGGTGCTCATGGTGCAGCGTGGGTGCTGATGGCACAGCATGGCGCGGGTGCAGATGGCATGGCTGGTGCAATGGCTGGTGGCACAGAGCTGGTACTGATGGCACGGCGGCATCTGACTGCTCATGGCATGGCGACGGTGCTGCTGGCATGGTGTGGGTGCTGCTGGCACGATGTGGGAGCTGGTGGCACAGCAGTGTTGGCGCTGATGGCATGCACAGTGGTGGTCATGGCACAGCATTGGTGCTGGTGGCATGGCACAGCATTGGTACTGATGGTACAGCACGGTGTTGGCACTGATAGCACAGCATGGTGTTGGCACAGAGGACACGGTGTGGGTGCAGGAGCGGTGCTGCCCACTGTGGCAGCACCCAGGGGTGCTCAGCCCTCACGTCCCTGCCGCGTGTCCCCGGCTGTGCCCAGGGCGCAGGTGGCATCGCTGGCAGCTGCCCTGGCTCTTCCTGCAAATCCTGGTCCCTCCGCAGCCCCTCTGCTGCCCTGCGTGGCTGGGTCCCGCGGGCCGCCCTGGGTACGTGGCCGCTGTGACCTGCTGCCGCTGCCACCCTAGCCCAGCTGGACACCAGGGCGCCTCGCTGCCGGGGCGGGGGGCTGCGGTGGCAGCGGCCGTTAACCCACCCGATCTCTTTAATAAACCAGGGGGGTTGCGTGGGGCAGAGCCCGCGGTGGGAAGCTCAGCCGCAACCAGGAAGGCCAGCGGGAAGGGGGACGAGGCGCGGAGCGGCTCCGAGGACGGGGACCGGGTGCGGAGCGGCTCCACGGGCAGGCGCTCCCGGCACTGCCACATCCTGCTCCATGCATGGAAGTGTCATCCAAGCTGTTTGTCTCTGACCACGTCCCAGCCGGCAACTGAAAACCAAGTGGAAAAAAAAACTGAACATGTTTATCGTTGATCAGTTTGTGTTTGTGGATTTGATTTCACCTGCAAGTATTTGATGACTTTTCTACATCCTAGACTACCTGCTCTGTGTTTGTCCAGGGTTCTCCTTCCTAGACCTCCTTTTAGATGGGCATATACTCTTTATCTATTTGCTGCATGTATGAGAAAATAAAATGTATAATTTTAAAGAAACCCTGTGAGTGTGACTCGGTGACTGGGGGACAACGGGGAGATCTGGGACTCTGGGGTCATTGCTGCGGATGGGACCCTCATGCACCCAAACTGTCCCCAGCCCTGATGCCAGGACACTGGGCTCCATGTGGAGCCCACCAGAGAGCCGATGGTGCCGGCATTTCCCAGCTGTGGGAATGCCGCCAGTGACTCCTGCGTCCCCAGTGCTTTGAGACTTCCCAGTGCCCGTTATAGTGGCTGCTGCAGAGGAAGCATTCGCTTTGGTGACACCTCCCCTAATTATGGGAGCTAATGACAAAACCATGGTGACAAATGACTCAGCTTTCAGCAGTGAACTTAATGAATTCCGAAGTTGGAGTCTCCAGCGGAGCAACTGGAAAAACCCGATTAGGGAGGTGCCCGGAGCGCAGTGTGACCGGCAGCGCCAGCCCAGGTCCCTGCAGAGCCCAGGTGGGACCCGACCCCCCCAGCGTGGCCGGCAGCGCTAGGGCCTTCCCCTGCATCCCGGCCTCCTCCCGCAGAGCCTCCTCCCAGCCTCCTCCTGCCCGTGGGCTGGAGGGAGCAGCGAGGGCGCCGCAGGGCCGGCTGAGCGCTGGGCTCCGGCACAGCCCGGCCGGGCTCCGGCACAGCCCTCCTTGCCGGAGCCGAGCGTGCGCTGCGGGTGCCCCCGCGCCAGCCTGAAATACCCGGGGAGGCTGCAACCCCCTGCGGGGGCAGCTCCGCGGCCTCCTGCCCGCCCCGTGCGCAGCCCCCAGCCCCGCATCCCGCCCGCAGCACCCGCCACCCGGAGCAGCGCCCGGCGCCGCGGCCCAAGAGCCTGCACAGCCTCCCAGCACCCTCAGGAAGCGGCACCTTCGTCCCCTCCCCAAATACACGTGTATTATAGATACACATGCCAATATATAAACCTGACTCTCTGCTGGGCTCCCAATCAGTGGGTGCTTTTGTCCTCATCCGGGGGCGAAGGCAGCAGCCGGTGTTGCAAAGCTGAATATGAAATTCGGGGCTGAGGCGGCTACTTGGCTCTCACGTGTCCTGACTTCTCGGAGCCTGGTGTTTGCATCAGGAAATAGCTGCCTCTTGCACACATGTACGTGCCCGCCGGTGGCAAGTGGGGACGAACGCGCTATCAGGTAAACCGGCGGCCTGCCTCTTGCACGTAACCCCTACCAAGTTATTAGTATAAGAGGTGGATATGCCATAGGGCTTATTGGAAAGGTCGCATGAGTCATGAGCTCATCCAACTGGCAGCAAAAATGTTTGCGAGCGATGAGCTACCAGAGCCAGAGTGAGCATTTTAACCAGTGTCAAACAATTAAGGCGCTCGCCAGGGTGCCATGCCCAGCGCCAGCCTCCCCTTCCCTGTCCCACTTCACCCCATGGCACCCATGCTGGGCAGGGGGCTCAGGGAACCTCCCCAGGGTGAGCGGCGGGCGCAGGCAGGGTGCACATGTGTGCATGTAGGTGCCGTGTGTGGGTGCAGGCATGTGGGTGCAGGCACACACGTGTGTGTGCGTGCATATAGGTGCATGCATGTATGTGTACATGTGTGTGCATGCACGTGTGCATGCACGTGTGCACACGCATGTGTGCTTGTGTGTGTGAGCTCGTGCATGCAAGCTCTGCATGTGCCCGTGCTGGGCTCCTGCAGAGCTGCTGCTGCGGCCCCGGGAGCTGGCGCAGGATCCCAGCCCCACACCGGGGCCGCCAGGGAGGGGGAACCGGCAGCCGGGCTGCCCCCGGCCGCGTCCCGGCCCCCCGGGAAAGAGGGGACCCACCAACCCCCCAGCCCGACCCCCCC